TTCAGCTCTACAATTCGATGGTAATAATTTAATTATAGGCGGGTTAACTTATAACGGGACTCCTGGACTCTACGAGTTAATTTTTAAGAAACATCCAATTGGTTTCACAGAAGGTGATAGAAAAAACTACTTAGACATTGTTAAAAGAACGAATGCTAATAAAAGAAACTACTCTGAAAATGAACAAATTCAGGGTAATGGTTCCTACAAATATAAAAAAATCATCTCCGCTTTGAATATACAACCACTAACACCGCGAAGACCTCGTAGTATAGCAACTCGAAAGAAGTTAGGTCTTGGTATGTTAATGGAAGCCTCGAATAATCCAATCGACTACGTATACTGGGACGACCCTAATGAACTTATTGATAGATTAAGGCTTTTAGTTTCCTCTCAAACCGCTGGCCATATAGGTCACGTCAACGAGATCGTGTCTATTATCGAAGAGTTGCGTGAATCTAAAATTATTGAGTAAATAATCTAACTTAAAAAATGACAATTGATAAATTTGGTAGACACATAAGTCACCCAAAGCATTCATCTGCGGATCATGAAGATTTTGACGTAATATTACAAAACATTGCAGGAAACATAATGAAGGAGTTATATTATAATATTATTTTAACATTTGAGTCCACGGTCTTTCAAGAAAACAGTAAGAAGTATTTAATATCTAATAAAAACATGTCACACATTTTCTTCTACGAGACAGCTGTGGTTGAAAATGTAACTGGTTGCCCGACTGATATCATAACAATTATAAATGAGAAGGAATTTACCTTGTCAGAACTAGTCAACATCCAGCTACATCGTGGTGATAGTATTTCATTTCGAGAAAAAGATCCACAAACTACAAACAATAATTTATTTCTGGAATTCTTTCTGCGAGTTCCTGTGGGGATAAATATATAGAAATTAGTTTTACATACTACAATCTTAATTTGAATCCAATGTGAAATATCTCAACAACTTTAACAAATATGCAACAAATGTAAAAGAAGACATTGTTAATGAATTACACAAGCCTGCCAGAATCAATTTCAGAAGAGGTAGAACCGTAATAAAAGGTCTGAATGATTTAATACAAGCTGATTTAATTGATTTGATACCATATTCAAAGGAAAATAATGGATATAAGTATGTTCTAATCGTTATTAATTGTTTTTCTAAATTCGTATGGACAAAACCTCTGGTAAGCAAATCAGCGCAAGATGTTACAATTGCAATGAATATGATTTTACAACGTTTTAAAAAAATTCCGAAAAATCTGCAAACTGACATGGGAAAGGAATTCTATAATGAGAGTTTCAAGAAACTGATGAAAAAATATAATATTAACCACTACAGTGTATATAGTTCGTAGAAGGCTTCGATTGTGGAACGTTCCATTAGAACTATAAAGAATATGCTTTGGCGTTCTTTTAGTTTAGCAGGAGAATATAAGTGGGTTCATATTTTAGATAAAATTTTTGATAGATATAACAACACTGTCCATTCTACAATAAGGATGAAACCAATTACAGTTACATCAAGGAATGATAAATCATTATTAAAGTCAACATATACTCATTTAAAAATTGCTGATAAAATAACAAAATTTAAAGTAGGTGACCATGTGAGAATTAGCAAATATAGAGAAGCTTTTAAGAAAGGTTACACACCAAATTGGTATAGCGAAATATTTATCATTAGGAAAATAAGATTAACGAGTCCCACAACATATTTATTGCAGGATGAGAGTGGTAAAGAAATAACAGGAGGCTTCTATGAACTGGAATTACAAAAAGTGAAACATCCTGACGCCCACTTAGTTGAAAAGGTGTTACGAAAAAAGGGAAATAAAGTTTTTGTCAAATGGTTAGGTTACGATGACAAACATAATTCCTGGATTGATAAAAATAATGTA